TTTTGAATTTCTAGAACAACGAAGAAAGCAACAAAAAATTAAACATCTAATTATATAACAAAATGATTAAGTAACAGTAACATGAATAGGTCCATCCCATGTGTCATATTGTGCACAGTAACATCTAAATTAAAAAGATTTGATGTTACTATCATGAATAATGGCAATACAATGTTAATGGTTAATTTAAGACACTCAATACAAATCAATAACATCAATATATAGACATTAAAATAATAAATTTTTAAAATTGATCTCACAGTAACATTAGAATTCTAAAGAAACCACACCAATCAATTTTGAATGTATAACGCCATGAAATAAAAAACGAAATCATAATACCCAAATCTTTTATATAGTAATAAGAACTCACAATATCATTTTCAAAAAAAATTTTAAAAAAAAATTAGACAGTACGAACTACATAGGGTGTAATGTAGTTTTAAAACTCTAAAAGAAACATCAAACTTCATGTAATATCACACACCTTACAAATTTTTACAGAATCCCAAAGTTTTGTGAAGACTTCAAGAATGCTAAGAACAATTGTAGCTTTTCGCCAATGAAACTTGAAGAGTAACCCCGATTTTCGGTTTTATTATGTGAAACCAGTTTCAATTTTGAATTGATTATTTTTGGGTAATAGAGTTTATGATTTTCAGAGAAGAAGAATGGGAAATATTTGAGGAATGTTGCCGGATTCATAGCCTGGAATGAAGGAAGCAAGAGTTACTGGTTGCAAAAAAAATGGAACGAAAGGGTTCTCCGTCTAAGAAAGCAATCGGCAAGTTAAACGACGTTTAGGTTTTTAAATAAATAAGGGTATAATAGTAAAAATGGCAAAAAGTTGACTTCAAACCAAATAAGTTTCCTTGCAGGACTTATCTTCAAACAAAGTCCATTCAAGGGGACCCAGCTTCCAAATTTTTCATTTTTTAGCTATATCATGGGTCACGAGCTTCAAAATTGGAAGGGTGACAAATTTAGGCATGTTAACGAATCAAGTTTGAATTAAATTTTAATTGATTCGAATTTAAATTTGACTTTAAAATTCGACCCTGATAATCTAATGAATTTTATTTTCGTGGTTCATACCCAAATCTCTTAATTGTCCGAACCCGATCCGAATAACCTAATTTAACTAAATTTTAACAAATTACATATAAATTTTAACTATTTTTTTCAAACAATCACTTAATTTCTTTAATATTTATGCAAAAATATAAATTATTTTAAATTAGATCATAATCAAATCGAATTTATATATATATCTAAATCTGAATCCTTAAAATATACGATATCGAATTCATATTCAAATTTGGATAATCGATAAAAAATATCAATCTACATCCTGATTAATTAAATTTTGATTCAGATCAGATTCGAATTAAAATCAAATCCATTGGCAAACCTAGTGAAAATGGCAACATATGTGACTCCCCCAAGTCCCACAGTTGATGAATCAAAATCATTACCAAAACAATTAATCAAATCATTCATTAAAATGTTATTGATTCCTATATCTTCATTATATACCTTCGACCTATTAGCTAAGATCTGTATTCTTTTATGTGTATGCACTTACAATTTTCAGTTTTAAGACGTGGAGATATCGAACCCGTGAATTAAATTGTGTGATTTAATATCCATATGTTTTGGCATTGGACAGAGATTAGTGAAAAAATTTATGAGGCTAATACAAAGTCAACAAGGTCAAATCCTCAGTTTAAGGACCTCACCTTTAGTCCTTGGCCATCCATCTCCAAGCAATGACCACCTTAGCTCTCTCCTAAGAGCATGGAGGTCCTGTAGAGGACTTCCAATGGCAATGCTTCTACCAGAAAAGGCATATATATATGCCTTCATACCTTTGTATATAGCCTAAGCCAAAATGGAACAGAAAAACTCATCTCAATATCACAAAATGAAGTATAAATCATTCCTCCCTCTTGCAATTTGTTTCCTTTCATTTTTCTTCTCTCCTTCATATGCACACAACAAGAGCCATAACAACGAAGATTCTTCTTCTTCTTCTTCATTGCGTGGTAGCAACAAAGATTGCTTTTCCAAAATCTATGCTTTTGGAGACTCGTATACCGACACTGGCAACGCTTACTGGTTGGGTGGTCTCACCATTCCTGTCGGTGCTACATCGGGAAAACCCACGAATCCACCCCCTTGTGCTGGTGTCACAAATTCTCCCCCCAGCTCAACTACCTCGAGAAAAGTCGCAACTCCACCCCCTTTTGCTAGTGTCACAAACTCTCCCCAGAGCTCAACTACACCCCCTTCTGCTGGTTCTACAAACTCTCCCAACAGCCCAACTGCCACAAACCCACCCCCTTCTCCTGGTGTCACAAACTCTCCCCAGAGCTCAACTACACCCCCTTCTGCTTCTGCTGGTTCTACAAACTCTCCCAACAGCCCAACTACCACAAACCCACCCCCCTCTCCTGTTGTCACAAACTCTCCCCAGAGCTCACTCCACCCCCTTCTGCTGGTTCTACAAACTCTCCCAACAGCCAACACTACCACAAACCACACCCTTCTGTTGGTGCAACAAACTCTACTCACAGCTCAACTACTGATGGGAAACCTGCAAACCGGCTTAGTGATGGCCGCCTGGTTATTGATTTCGTCTGTGAATCTCTTTCCCTGCCTCCCTGCCACCCTACAAAGACAGTTCTGCCAACTTCACACATGGTTGTAACTTCGCAATAGCCGGATCAACGAGTCTGTCGAGTGACTACTTTATCAAAGAGACGTTATTTAAGAACCTAGTATGGAAAGGGATACCTATGAGCTTGCAGACTCAGATCGATTGGTTCACCAAGTTTCGCAGTGACATTGGATGTAAGGGAAAAGATTCGAGGTCGTGCAATGCTGAGATGGAGAACACGCTCTTCTGGATTGGTGGCATGGGCATAAGTGACTATGTTCGTACTTCGAAGGGATCTCTCATTTCCTTCCAGTCCCTCACAGATATGTCGATTTCTCATGTCTCCAAACTTCTAGAGGTATGACTCAAAGAAACAAATATGCACCGTGTAAAAGACTGGTCTATTTAATTGAATGTTTATATGAGGTTCATGCTGGGAATTTATGCTAACATCATACTTGTGTTCTATCAGACACTGCTGGGGGGTGGAGCCAAGTACATTGTGGTTCAAGGGCTACCACCAGTCGGGTGCCTCCCCATAGCCATTTCTTTGTGTCCACTCCATAAGTTAGATCGAATGGGGTGTTCTGTGCCTGTGAATGCAGCAATAATGTTCCACAACCAAATTCTTCAGAAGAAGCTGCAAAAACTTCAGAAACAGTACCCTCATTGTTCAATCATATATGCTGATTACTGGAATGCATTCTTGACAATATTGACAAATCTGAAAAAGTTCGGGTTTGATGAGCCCTTGAAGGCATGTTGTGGAGCCGGCGGAGGAAATCTCAACTTCAACATGGAGACAATCTGTGGCTCGCCTGGCACATCCACCTGCACGGACCCTAGTAAACACATCAGCTGGGATGGCATCCATCTCACAGAAGCCATGAATAAGCAACTAACTGATCTCTTGCTCAACCAAGGATTTTGTCAACCATCGTTCAGCGACCTGATTAAAAGTAAAAGTGGCATATAGATAATACATCACAGCATAAAAGGCCCATTGATGCCTCCTCCTGTCATAGCCTAGTTCATTTTATCACTCCGGATTGATTCGTTCAGAGAGTGTGAGGAAATAAAAATTTATTTAATGACAATTTTGTGTTCTTCTTTGATAAAACTGGTATAATAAGAGAAAGCTTTCTTTCTTCAATGTAGATCCATCTGTTCTCATATCTATCTGTTTTCGAACGGAACAAGAGAAAACAATCAGAGCAAAGCAAACCCAACCAGAACATGGTTTATATTAAATCATCCTAAGTGTTATTTAAACAGTTGAAAAAGAAAAGACAAAAATTGGTATTTGCCAATAAAAGTTTTCAGATTCTCATGCACCTTGAGCAGAAAAAAGATACAAGTGTGGACCCAATTTTCATAAATTTTATTTCGATATCATTATGAAGGTATCCCACATAGATACCACAAATTATAATTCAATAACTTGTTACATAGGGTAACAATCTGAGTGAAGTTTTCTTACCAGACTCTATATACATTTGACGGTCGGCATTTTCTGTCTGTACAACATTCTTCTCATTCACTTCAGATCATATTAGGTATTCATAATATGTCCAGACAAGGACATCTGGGTAATCTTTGGGCAGACTATTAATATATAGGTAAAAGCGCAACAGGTCCTCCTTGGAAATTGTGTTGGTGTCAAGCACATCCTCACTACAAGTGAGAACCCATAAATCTCTTGACTTGACTCTCTTTAAGCTACCTCGACAAAATGGGCAGGACTCTGATCGTGTGTTCCTGTAAGACGAATGGAGTTGAGAACCACAATCGAAAGAACGATTTTATTGAATGTCAGCTAGTCGTGGTAGAAACTATGTATAAAGGGAAAAACTATGGACAACTACTCACCAATCACGATAGCAGTTGATGCACATCGCATGACAGCAACTAGGCAAGACCATTTTGGTGCATGGCTCCAAGCAAATCCCACATTCATCTTCCCTATCAAAATCGTTGTTGGCAACTCCATTCTCTCCATCAATTTTGTTCTTGCTAATGATTTCCATGCCAGGATCATCATCTGTAGCCTTATCCAGCTCCACTAGGTCACAATGGAGCCGCCTAAGAGATGGCAATATAACAGCTGCAATTTGGTTTATGTTGAATCAAACACACAAGAATATTGAATGCATAGCAAGCTACAATGGATTTCTTTTTCCTACAAAAAGAGCAAAGAAGTGAAGTAATTCAGGCACCATAGAAGTCTTTAATTGTTGCTTTCCTTCCATGTGTAGATATTTTCGGCCTCCCATCCGTGTCCACCTGCAAAACAGGACAGAGACAGTCAAAATCCATTCAGCCATTATTCAATTTTCAATAGCTCTCTGTTAGGTTCTCGAAAAGAAAGAAAAATAAATGGAAAATACTATTCAATTGTGGTAATAAAGAAGCCACCTTCAAGTGTTTCCATCCCTTTTTATCATTGTTTGCAAGACTCACCAAAAGACCCAATTGAATAAAACAGAAAAAATAATTGAACAGAAACAATTCGGAACTTACCTTATATACAAGTATGTGGAAAAGATTTAGATATCTGGGAAAGAAACATGTGCAGGAACAATCCATCCATTGGAGCAAAAAGAAAAAGAGGGGTGCCAAATGATTGTAGACCAATTTCATTTGAAGTCGTGTCCCACCCTTTGCTCTAGGGATTGCAGCAGCTCTGAAAACCAAGAAATTAGAGAACAATGAATTAACCGTGTTAAAGAAGAGAACAGAAAGTGAATATCAATTGCATATATATATTATATACCAGTAGAGAGGTTTTCTAGTCTAACCGATGTGGGACAAACATATATACATTAACAAACCAAACAACAGGATCACTAATTTGCAATCTAATGTGATATCAATAGAACAATATGAACTTTATATCTAGTTACAGAACAATCACAAAGGGATTTTCCATAAAATAAAATAATTAAATTTGAAAAAAAAAAAGGGGGACTTTCTGAGCCCCAAACTTGCTCTGACTCCAAATGAAAGGTCAAAAGACAAGTTGCTTCTGATAGAATAGTAAGACACCCTCAACATATCTCTAAGAACCTCTACATAAGAAGAGGAAACTACATGATTCTCTATGTAAAGCTCTTAGCCAATCAAAAATCATTGAAGACCTGAACAATCTCACCAAATGAACAAACTTTCTGCTCAAAAAGCTGTTGTAATCTCGATGTTAATTGTAATTGAGCCAAGTAGCTAACAGGACCAGACAGCGAAAAGGAAAGCACAACACAAAGCCCCCAAATTGGCTGCCATATTTCTTGTAACTTGCATAGTAGCTGAATAGTAATTTTTATGATGATCATCAATCATCAAAGTACCCAGATAGACAGAAAAAAACATAACAAAACACACACACATATATGGGTAAGCAAGAGCATATAAACAAAAAACAGAACAAACCCAGAAGAGAGAAGAAGTTAAGAGGTGAAGGAGGAGCTTACAAAGCATTAGCATGTTGTATATCAGCCTCAAGAACTTTCAACGAATCCTGGTAAGACGACCTTGCCAACTGATAATACATCATCTCCATCTCTCTCTCTAAAGCTGTTTTTTCTTTGTTGAAGTAATTAGGATAGAAAGCAACAAGACCGAAGAAGAGCTCTCTTGCCTTCAAAACTATAGATGAGCTGCGAAAACTACTAAGCTTGCTTTTTGAGAAACTAATCTCCACCAAAAAAAAGACAACAGAAGAAGCAGAATACAAAGGTAGAGGGAGAGGGAGAGGGAGAAGGAGAGGCACAGTGAGAAAAAAGCTGTAACCTTTTTCTGAAAATGGGACGGCTTTGAGTGTGACAGTTTTGGTTGGGTTGATCAGACAGAAATTAATGGGAAGGTAATGGATTTTCTCTGTCCAGGTTGGGAGGCTGGTTGGGTTTGTTGTGATTCCTTTGTTGTCATTATAAGTTTGCCTTTTGTGTGGTTGGTTTTGAAAAATGTCCTATTTTTAATTAAAACTTATCCTTGATAATCATTAACATAATACCTCTTTATAGCACTATGATCTGTCTCCTTTAATGTAAATTGTTCTAATCTTGGTAATTAGCTAATGGAAAAAACTAAAAAATACACAAATTTCATATGAATCTATTTTACTTTTTCAACTGTAAAAAATTTATGCACACTTTGACTAATTCTCTCTTTAATTTAGTTAAAATAAATTATCCACGCCGAGATATTCACAAGAGATAAATCTCTAATAATTTAGTCCCAAAAAATTTTTAAAATTCAAACTCACGACATTTGAGTTTGCAATTTACCTTTGTTATCACTTGAAATATTCTTTAAAATTATTTCACGTGAACTTACCTAATAACTATTTTTGTACTTACAATATCACATTTCATGTATCTTATTTCCTATATTTGTTTTAATAAAACATCATCCTGAAAAGATAAGACTATGGGACTATTTAAAAAAATTTAACTCCATTTAGCGGATATTGTGTCGTACATCTTTTCTTTCTAAACAATAAGTATCATGTTTGCATATGATTAATTTGCAATATTTAAATCATTGATATGATAAGTTATGTTGGTACATTACCTTCATGGAAAATAAATAAATAAATATATATATATATATATATATATATATAGTAGTCTTATGATAAGAGTTAGGTGATACAAATTTAAAGTATCATCAAACCTGGTTCAAAATCATAATTAATTCACATAGCAGGTAGATAAGCAACTTGTTTATACCCATTATTTGATTTAGGATTAGAAGGAAGGCATGTATATTACTACTTTTTGTAGTAGAATTGTGGTTGAAGGTTAGTACTCTTAACCAAAGAATCCCATAAAAATTGGCACCAATATCATAATTAATTTATTTGAATTTGAATCATGATTACGAGATTTTTCGATAATTATTCGTAATAAGACAACATATCATTAATTTATTATTAAAATTGAGTCTTCATCTATAAAAGAAGGATTTTTTATAAAAAATAAAAATAAATTAAAAAAAACATACTTTGAGGGCTCTAGTTTAGGTGGCCGTCAAAAAAGTTTATTTATATTCATTGTATTGCAAGTCAAATTATTCATTGGACTTGGGAGACGTGTTAATTTCTATAAGTGTAGTGGATAACAAAATTATTCTAAGGTTGTCATTATTGTTACTTAGCCATTAAGCCCTTGGACCACTTATACACGTGGAAAACAACATGCCCTTTATTTTATTATTTCTAAATCACCCTCATCCTTTATTTCAAAATTGGCTACTTTGTTTCCCATGGTTGAAAGCTGGGAATTGATAAGTAGTAAGGTTGACCAATAATTTTTCCTACAATACAAAAACAAGGAAGGAAGACCATGTTCACCCTAACTATAAATCCTTAGGGACAATCTTAATTGAATGTGTAGAATAGGTACGAGGGGCTGACACACATCGTCGAAGACCTGACTCATCAAGGATATTTGAATCATTTTACATATATTTCGATTAATAATTTTTTGGATTTAGTCAAAAAAAAAAAAAGATATTCACACCGAAATAAGGGTATTAATAAGAGATAAATTATTTTAAACCTGACTCTAAGAAAATACCAAAATTTAAACTCAAGATATCTGAATTTACGATTCATCTTGTTACCATGTGAGACACTCTTGAGGTTAAAGACTATTCTTTCGTTTAAGGAGACTTAACCACCACACCGATCATTTGGGGGAGTCATTTTTCAAAAAAATTAGTCAGTCTTACCTTCTTAAATTAAGTTCAAAGAATTGACTTTTATGGGCATTTAAGTGATCCATGTTGGATTTTTGATCTATTAGGTAGGGTTAGAGGATGGAAGCAGCAAATTTGGATAATTTTTTTTGCATCAAATTATTTCTCTTAGCATCTTGTATATGCAAAAACTTCATAGGTATGAACAATGTGAAATTATCTTAATCGTTAATAAAAATTAGAATTCCAAAAAGGACCTAGGCCAAATTTCAACCGTCATACAATATTTTTTATTTGTCTTCAAGTACCATACAAGGAAAAAAAAATGTATAGTTAGGGTATTTATAGCGAGGTACGAGACGAGAATAATTATTATATTATATAGGAATTTAGTGGAATATTTTGGGGGTTGGGAATAGTCTCACAGTAAGCAAATTGTGATCAATAGTGGAGTTCGAGACGGTAGTTATTGTAAACCTGGATACGGTGCCTCAAAAAAAAAAGTCAATGACATTTTGAGCCAAATATTAAAGGGAAGGTAAGTGTAATTTAACAAACTTCGGGGTACAACTTTAGTATTTTTCATCTTCCAAAGGATGCTCAATAGTGAATGGGTGGGGTTATTTTCGCTCCCCTCATTTAATTTTTTATTATCAAACTATTAAATCCGTTTTTTTTGTACCTATCTCATTAATAACTAAATTCACCTCATATTATATACACTATTTTTAAAAAATAAACCTACTTTATATTTTGTCATAATTAGAGTTTCATTTTCTATGTCATCTCATGCATTCACAAAAATATTTTTTCAATATGAATTTTTTTCAGTGAGATACAGATTAATATTATTTCTCAATTTAATTTTATGTTTAATTTCATATTTATTATATAAATTTTTATTATTTTTGGTACGCTTTGATACCTCTGTCAAATTTAATAATTTTTTATTTAAAACTGATATGTATATATATATATGTGTGTGTGTGTGTGTGTGTTTTCAGATTATTTATTATTTTTTATCTTGTTAAAATTTTGCATTTATGCTTGTTAGTTTTTTTTGGTTATATTTTGTGTATGTATTTGAAGCTTTTTTTTTTTTTTTATATTTGGTTTTACGTGTTATAATTTTACTTGTTCCTTTAATCTTTACTTGATTTTTTTTTCTTTCTTCGGTGTGTTTATTTCTTTTTATTTCCTTCTTTTGTTCTTTTCTTTTTTCTTGTTTTAGTCTATTTCTTTCTTTTTTTTTCTTGTTTCGTTCTCTTTTTCGTAAATATCTATATAATAAAGTAGTTAAAAAAGTTTGTCTTGAACTTTTCGCAACTCAGATCATTTTTAGGCTTTTAATTCAACGATCATAATTAGATTTACCTCTAATACGCCTATCTCTTATACAACTCTATGTCCTATCTTTTAGACATTTTAAACACACACACTCTCTCTCTCTCTCTCTCTCTCTATATATATATATATATATATATATATATATATATATATATATATAATAAAATAGAACGAAGTTTGAATCCAAAAGACAAATAGAGATCTAGATCGTTTTGAGACAAGACATAAACACATCCAACGGACAACGTAATCCCCACATAAAAGACGGTTCAGATCATTTCAAAAATTTTGATCTAACGGACTACAGTTAGTCTTGAATTTCTTTTCTCACCCATGAAAAAACCTCTTATCGTAAGACTCTACACTTCTATATCTCATACGTCTCTATCTTAAATTTGAAAAAACATAATAACAACTCAGATTGAATTCATTTTAAATTAAATGATCTAAATATTATATATTAAAAATGTATTGTTTGTACCTTGATTTAGGTTGGTTTTATTTAATTTCTAATTTTATGATAAAACTTTGCATAAAATTAAAAATATTTATATTAAACACACATAAAATACATAATATCTCTAAGTTTAATGCTTATTTTTCAAAGTTTAACAATTTAACATTTGACCCCAATATCGCATACACATTGTCACTATAACACAAAAATCAGTATCTAAATAGACAATGTCACCATTTTTGGACATGTAAGTTATTTAGTATATCGATTTTTTCAAAACCTTTGGTATAATATTTCATTAAAAACCATTATATACTTACTATATAATTTTTCATCTTTTTATTACAAACTGATTCATATCTAGAGTACATTATAAGTAGATCTTCTTATCACGCATCTTAGTACCGATGGTTGATATTTACTTCTTACTTCTTATCGATCAATGAAGTTTAAATTGTCTTTCTAATCCATAAATAAAATCATCAAGTTATTATTCATACCAAAAATAAATCACAAATGTATGAAAACCTATAGTTCTCAAAAAATAAAAAAAAAAATTCAAAACCTAAGTTAATCAGCAATTAAAAAAAAATAAGTGACCAATACAAAAAAAAACAAGATATCAATTGCATCAACAAAAAATGTTCAAAATCAATCTAATCGCTATATGTTGAAATTATTCAAATATCCTATCTTTGTGTGTTGAAATTTTATAAGTAACATAGTGTCTTCATTCACGGACAAATGACTAGTATATATAATAAAGTAGAACAATTTTAAATTTTAGAGATAAAGAGCGGTTAAGATTGACGTTATGAACCATCCTATGGATGATGCTATGGATGACCTATGAATGACACTATCCCATGGATGACACTATCCTAAACTATCTCGAACTATGATCATTTTAGAACTATTGATTCAACACACTAGATTAACTCTTGAAAAAATTAATCTCGCCTAAATTTTTAATTTCAAAATCTCTTAAATCACTCCACTTAATTTGGCCAAATATTCTGCCCCCTACGAAAAAAAAATCCCTTCTCTCCCCCTAT